CCACCTTGAACAGTGCCATGGTATGTTATAGCACCCCACACTGTCATCTTGAACACTGCCTCCTTATGTTATAGCACCCACACTGCCATCTTGAACAGTGCCACCTGATGTTATAGCATCCCACACTGCCATCTTGAACAGTGCCACCTTATGTTATAGCACCCACACTGCCATCTTGAACAGTGCCACCTTATGTTATAGCACCCACACTGGCATCTTGAACAGTGCCACCTTATGTTATAGCACCCACACTGCCATCTTGAACAGTGCCACCTTATGTTATAGCACCCACACTGCCTTCTTGAACAGTGCCACCTGATGTTATAGCACCCACACTGCCATCTTGAACAGTGCCACCTGATGTTATAGCATCCCACACTGCCATCTTGAACAGTGCCACCTTATGTTATAGCACCCACACTGGCATCTTGAACAGTGCCACCTTATGTTATAGCACCCACACTGCCATCTTGAACAGTGCCACCTTATGTTATAGCACCCACACTGCCTTCTTGAACAGTGCCACCTTATGTTATAGCACTCACACTGCCATCTTGAACAGTGCCACCTGATGTTATAGCACCCACACTGCCATCTTGAACAGTGCCACCTGATGTTATAGCACCCCACACTGCCATCTTGAACAGTGCCACCTGATGTTATAGCATCCCACACTGCCATCTTGAACAGTGCCACCTTATGTTATAGCACTCCACACTGCCATCTTGAACAGTACCATCTTATGTTATAGCACCCCACACTGGCATCTTGAACAGTGCCACCTTATGTTATAGCACCCCACACTGCCACCTTGAACAGTGCCATGGTATGTTATAGCACCCCACACTGCCATCTTGAACAGTGCCACCTTATGTTATAGCACCCCACACTGCCACTTTGAACAGTGCAATGGTATGTTATAGCACCCCACACTGCCATCTTGAACAGTGCCACCTTATGTTATAGCACCCCACACTGCCACCTTGAACAGTACCATGGTATGTTATAACACCCCACACTGCCATCTTGAACAGTGCCACCTTATGTTATAGCACCCCACACTGCCACCTTGAACAGTGCCATGGTATGTTATAGCACCCCACACTGCCACCTTGAACAGTGCCATGGTATGTTATAGCACCCCACACTGCCACCTTGAACAGTGCCATGGTATGTTATAGCACCCCACACTGCCACCTTGAACAGTGCCATGATATGTTATAGCACCCCACACTGCCACCTTGAACAGTGCCATGGTATGTTATAGCACCCCACACTGTCATCTTGAACAGTGCCACCTTATGTTATAGCACCCCACACTGCCACCTTGAACAGTGCCATGGTATGTTATAGCACCCCACACTGCCACCTTGAACAGTGCCATGGTATGTTATAGCACCCCACACTG